CTTCATATGAGTCATGCATTCATTTTGAAACACATTAGATAAACCAAATCAATTGTTGATTTTGTATCAAATATCTGCAAATATAGGACACTAAAAAAAATGTGATAACGATTCATCAGAGCATCACCCCATACACATTCACAAGATTCTTGACTAATAATTCTTGAAATTGTCTTTGGTAGGTAATCTATTATGAAGAATTTCCATAATAAACATAATACTTTTGATGATACCAATTTGCACTAAGCTTTTTCCTAAGGCAAATTTGACCTTATCCTATTTATTTACATCTACGCATTATACTTGTTCTGGACCGATCAAAAGGTCCAATCAATTAAGATCCACTTCATCAAAAGTTTATTCTATTCGACTCAAATATAAAAACAGTTCAAATGTGATGATAAGGTACAATCACGAATCTCCAATTTAAATATATTCATCTTGAATTTTGAATTAACTCGGGCGTTGTAGTGTTAATCATGCAGGTCCATCTTACGCCACCGTAAAGGATATCAGAGCCACCATTCAAGACCACCATTAACCAACTCTCTTCTTTTCCGTTCCTTCGTGGAACTAGATCATTCATTTTTGGTTCTCGAACATAACAGTGAGGTCGTTTGTGGAAATCGATTTCTGATTCCTGCATTTTCCACAAAAAATCATGTTCGATTCGCAAACACTATCAAACAAGTTCAAAAGTTCCAGATCAAACAAGTTCACATATTATCTATTGAGTGTCTCCGATCCAATACATATCGAAGTCTAAGACAAATTTAAAAATAAATTAAAAAAAACTAAATCCATATTTTAATTTGATTTAATTTTTAAATAGTATAAAAACATTTATTATATTATAATTAATTTTATTTAAATTTATGTTAAACTCAACTCATTTATTTTCTTTTGAGATAAAGTAGAATTAAAAGCTTACAAAAATTTATTCTAGTTTTAATTTTTCTAATTCAAATTTTGAGTTGATATTATTTTAAAACAAAAATATATGAGAAAAAGTTAATATTGTGAAATTTAATTGTCAATATATTGTATCATAATTTCTTTAAAATAAGTGCTCCACCCAAAATAATCGTATAGAAAATAACACATTCTTAATTTACCTATTAGCAAAAATTTAAAATAAAATACATACAATTGAAATGTTGAAGTTTACATTATTAATAATAATATGAGAAAATGAATTCATTGTACTCCATGTTCTCTCTCCAAAATAAAAAGATAAATTGCAAAACAATTAAAAAAATGATAGTTGCACAACACCTGACAAAAGTAATAAACTGTAGTGAATTGTGAGTAATGTGTTAATTTTTTTATATAATAAAACATGTAGTATAATTATAAGTATATAAGTAGAGGTCTTGAAAATTGGAGGCCAAAGGCAAAGGCCTTGGTTGCCTACCTCTTGGGTCGGGTTTGGAGTATGCTGATATGATGTCGATAAGAAATTATGTTGTTGGTGATTTGTTATTATTATGTATGGTCACAATGTGAATCAGATGAATTATGTTGATGAAATTTTGTGTTGTTTGTGATTTGTTATTATTATGTATGGCTATGATGTGAATCTGATAAATTGTATTGATGCGATGTTGATGAAATTTTGTGTTATTTGTGATTTATTATTATTATGTGTGGCCACGAGGTGAATCAAATGAATTATGTTGTTGTGATTGTGTATTGTAAATGTATTCATGTGATTGCATATGGCTTGAGTTGTGTCTGTCTAAGTGGTGAAATTTATTATTAAGATGTTTTGATTTTAGTCATATGCATGATGATGTGTTGTTATTTTGATTGTATGATTGCCTTTGTGGTGGATTGTCTAAGTGGCATGATTTTCCTAAGTGGTCGGAACTGCATATGCAACATCATTTCATGACATATACATGCTTGCCTTAGTGGCGAGTTGCCTTAGTGGCAGATTGTCTTAGTGACAAGTTATTTTTCCCATTGATATGAGATGAATTCTGTGTGGTGCTTTAGTGGCAGACTGATTATATCCGGATCATGTAGTTCTAAGAGCATGCATATTCATACCTAAAGATATTCGTAAAATAATGATTTTTGTGAATTTGATTTCTCTTAAGCTATTATGTTTTGTATGATTTGTTTTATAATATCGTACTGTATGTTTTGTTTGATTTGATATAGATGATGGAAGATTGACCCTTTACAAATAACATATTATGTACGGAGAATTTCAAGATATGAATTGATCGTGATATGATGTTGCTTGTGCTCGTGGGAATGAAATCAGATTTTTATTGAACTTGTAATTCAATTTAAAATAAACTAGAATGTTTAAGTGTGATAGTTTATTTAAGTTGTGAATTAGAAATCAATTTGTGAATTAGAAATGTGATTTTTACTATGTAAAAATGAATATAGTTAAGTTTTTTTTAAATGTATTATTATTGTATGATCTTTTGAAGAAAAAAAAACTACTTTCAAGTTTTTAAAGTGAATAATTATCTTAATAATATTTCAGATAAAAAAAATTTAAGGGGTTACATACAACTTCCTCAAATCTCATAATCGAAAATTGTTCGAGAATGAAGGTGGGGATTTTCTGACCAACGCTTCTGCTCCAAATGTTTGTGATCCAAACCTTTGATTTCCTCAAGAACTCCGCAAGAGAGTGAAAGAAGATTCCCATGCCCAAATTTAGGGTTGCATCATGCTCTAAGGGAAATTTTCATGAAGACCAAACATGAAATTTACAATTTGTCTCCCGACCTAACGCCGCCCTCGCGTCTCCCTCTTGTTGAGGCTCATACTGAGGCGACACCTTCAAGATACCATAGTTTGTACTTAATGACGCCCAGATACTACAAGTTTGTAGTTAACACTAGACATCGATCTGATACTACGGTGCATCATGTGGATGCCATATGATTTCCACTTGATGCACAAGAGTTTCCACCGACTGAATAACAAAGTAGATGCCCACTGTAAATACCCAAAGAAAGATATATAGGATCCTAGTTGCAAGAAGACTTGTCGGTATCAGCATTCGACCACCTCTAAACTCCCATTCCAAAGGAAATACTCGACGGAGAGGGAGTTTGGCATCAACGATAAAAAAACAGCTCACTGAAGCATCTGACAGAGTGATTCGACGAGCCCAAAATCAGAAGTCGACCTAAAGATACTCCTTGGTGTAGCTGATCCTCACCCACACATCAGTAGTTACGTGAAAGGCAACACACCTCAGACGCCACCCACCCAAAGGAATGACTTCAAAGGTAAAACACGTTCAACCTGGATCCCAGAGGAGGAACTACAACCAAAGACCTCAAACTCTGTCCGGCCACTCCAAGGTCACCGATAAAAGGTTATCTACCTTGCTGGTTCTTTATTTATTTGTAGTAAGTTCAATTCATTATTAATATGAAAAATGTATATACATGTATCTCTTTCTTCCTCTATTGTGTGTTTCTTTGTCTCTCTTTCTGCTAGAAAGCCCAGAACATGAGACCAAATATAAAGTGTATGAATATGTTTCCGATACAGACTTAAGTGTATCCAAGCTTATTGTGTATCTGATACGAACTTAACACATTTATGCGATTCCGACACGACTTAAGACACACTCTACACGCGGTTGTGTATCTGATATGGATTTAACACATTTGTATAATTATGATACAACTTAAGACACAATCTACATTTGGTTGTATATATGATATGGACTTAACACATTTTCTACAATTCTGATACAACTTAAACATAATCCAGGACTAATCCGTATCTGATACAAACTTAACACATTTATACGATTTTGATACGACTCAAACATACGCCTCACATTCAAGGCCTATTAAACACACTTATGGATAGTTGGAGCACCCCTCAGATCTAGTCAATTCTGGGGTGTAGGTGGTGGATCCCATATACGTCCACCTCGATTTGATTTAAGCCTCAGGGCAAGGACGAGGATCATACCCTTAGTCGTGTAACAGTCCTCTATGACATGAAGCATAATTCAAAATATGATTACATCACCTTTACTTCGCCGACCACATGCATCGCTTGAGAAGCACAAACAAATTTCCAAGTGCGATATATGTATACTTAAAGCAATACATTATTATAACAAACACCAAAGACAATATGCAAATATAACAACAAAAATGGTAACCAACGTCATTCAATGCACCGAGTCACAAAAGAACAAGGAAAATTCCAAAGGCATATATGCCATCTTATTACAATCAAATATGCGTCATTTTTCACAAAGCAAAGAAAAATAGGCTCTCACGCTCACAACAAATATTCCACCATCGCTGATGAACAATGGTCGTCCGGTCTAAATTCTAAAGTAAAATAAAAACTTTGCATGATGAAATCAGGCTTCAAAGCTACAACTCTTCATAAGAAAATAATGATATTGATAAACCAAAAGCTGACACAATGCTCTAAAGCTAACAATACTCAAGACAACAAAGGTAAATATTTCATTAAATATCAAAATTGTTACATTTAAGGCATGAAAGCCCAAGACATTTTTCAAGAAATAAATAATACTAGGCTAAAATAAAATCAAGCCGGAGCATTTGAAGCCAAAGCATCGGGACCACTTCATTGACTCACACCAGAATAAGACTTAAATGGTCCCAACACCTCGAAAAAAATTATGACATCATGACAAAACTTCTGCTCCACCACTCGTTCTCGGATTCTGAGCACATCCTGCACAGTATGCTGAAGAGCATCATGGAGTACCCGTTTCAAATCGGCCACCTCGTCTAGAAGAGCTTTCAAGTCCTATGCGTCTTTCTGATGCTCCTCCACCTAACAAATTTCTCCTTAAGAGAGTCAGAAACAACCTTGTATCACTCTTATGCATCTCAAAGAGACCCCTTCAATTCAGTTACACGGGCCACCAAAGTTGAATGAGAACCATGTATTTATATGACCTCTTGCAAAGAGTTAGAAGCTTTAGCTTCCTCCTACATCGCAATGATCTTATTCTGAATATTAGTTTACTTCATCTCCATAGGTTCGTCCTTCCCTTTCCAAACATCCATATCCTTAAAAGAACTTCCAGGGGCCAATGCATCACCTCGTTTAGCAGAAACAAGAGAAAAAATAAAAGCAACCTTGAACATGCTATGAGTAAGTTCATAACCTATTTCCATCTTATCCCCCTCGAGATGATTTTGGATGAAGGGTAAATCCAACGTCAAAACAATAACATAATCCTCCTCAGGAGTGCGTGGAAGTCGTGAAGAGAAGATGTCTGGTGTCTTTATAAAATGATTCACCTCCCTAGAAGTTTCGTCCTTAGTGACCCGAGTTCATTCATGAACAATCAGTCTGAGGAGACCAATGTTCCTCCCGGGCCCTTTTTGATAAAACCAAAGGTGAGGTTGATTCCCCAACTATAAAAATGGCCGCAAAATCCACAAGATGATCCACCTCGAGCGGTGAAGCCAAATCATCTACAATCGGGGTAGGAGAAAGGGTTGAAGCAGTAGTGGGTCAGAAAAAGAATTTCTTGTATTCACCTCAACTCAAATACCTTGGGAATCTACCAGGAGGTAGAACATATTCAGCTTTCTTACTTTGTTCATGCTATATGCAAAATGCAATCACACAGGTCAAACAAAAAAACATTAAGTTATGTTATCACCAAATACTTTCCTCCTCTCCTCGAGATTAACTATACTCAATATAAAATGAGTATAAATATGCCTTTTCCTCACTTTATTAGAGGGCACCTCATCGGTGTCTAACCATTCCTTATAACCAAGTCCCGGAAACCAAGAATGAATTTCCTCCCTCATTGTCACCTTGTCCACATAAAGAGAGTATGACTGGGTACAATAAAAGTCAACATCCTGGTTAAAGTGGATCTTAGTCCAATACTTTGGATATGAAAAATCACAGTAGCGAGGAGGATTGATGGGGATATAGTAGAAAACATAGTGAGCCATAGAGTGAGGAGCTTCACCAATATGAAACGTCTCAAAAAATCACCCTCATCCAGAACAAAGGGGTCAAAATGAGAGACGGCCGAGTGAAGCTGAAGAAACCTCTGGTTACAAAATTTGTATATGAAAGTACGCCTCGGACGAAAAATATCAAAGAATAAGCCAATATGACTTCTGTTCGACACATAGTTGGAAAACCCTCACATATGCCCACGAACTAGGATGAAGTTGGGGATTGAAAATCTTCAAATGTTTAAGGACGGCTAACTCAAACTCAAAAAAGGGAAATAAAAGTCCCATTCTTGTAAACAAGAACTTATAGAATGAGACCATGCAATCAATAAAATAATTGCATATATCTTGTTCTCTGGCACCAGAAGGACCAACCACCCTAAAAGATCACCGACCATAATGTCAGCATCATGCAGGGTGGCCTCAATGCTCAAAGCCAAAGAAGTTCCTACCACTGTTCTATCCAGTCATACATCAATGTACAAATGTTCCAGCACCTCAGTATCACTAGGCTTGAGACCTTCAATTCCCATAAGAACTTGAACAAAATCTTTAGTATGTTCCCTCCTTATCAATTTGGTTTGCACCTTCTCTTCCGAAAGAATATGAGGGGGCATTGGGACCTAAATGTGATTTATTCCTCTGCCTACATTTGTTATAAGGGCATCTAACAACCTAGAAGAAGAAGTTTCTTCCTCTAGGGAAGCCTCATACCTCCCTTCTGACCTAGAATCGTCAAATATGGATATAATTTATTTCCCTACGTGATCACTACTATGAGAAGGATAATGAGAATCATGGCATGATCCATATGAAATTTCCACTTCAGATTCACTCATTAAATCGACGTTGTTATCACTCATCCTAACTAAAAGTAGAAAATGCTAAAATTAAACCTTGAAGCCAGATAATATCTGGTTAAAAGAGATTGATGAATTAGGAGGAATGAAAAAGGCGAAAGCTTTAAGCGAAACTCTGATCCCTTCTAGTGATGTCCTCTAGAATAGGGAATGAAGATGTTTCTCTAGAAAAGGGACTAAAAGCTTACAAACTAAAGGTTTGTAATAATTTCATAATATTCAACCCACCCTATTTGTAAACAATGGCAGCTGAATGATTAACATCGATTAACATGGATCACAAAATCAACAACTAGAATTCCACTCATAAAAACACGTCATACCCAAGTGCTCAAGCACTTTATGAATTACATCACATCCTAGCTTGTCACAACACCACATATTGTAATGAATGAGTGACAAAATGTCTTAGTGATAAGACCTTATTAAATGCGCCTGTCCCCCATTACTTTTCAAAATTTATCCCAAGTGTTTCAGTTCTACTGCACACTTAACTATGATATAAAGGCAAATCAATGATACTTAAGGCATACCCTGAATCTTTCGGTGTCTGGAAAATCCTTAGCGGTAACTATTTTGGATTGGCCAAAATGCCCAATCTACCATGGCCAATCTATGAAAAGCCCACTCTATTTGTCCCAAATATAAAAATAGTTCATATGTGATGATAAGTTACAAAATCTCGGATATCTAATTTCATTTCACTCTTCTTGAACTTGAACTAACTTGGGTGTTAGAGTGTTAACCATACATGCCCACCCTGCACCACTATAAAGGAGATCAAAGCCACTGTTAACAAACTCTCTTCATTCCTGGTTAATTGTTGAAGCGGTAAAGCGGAAAGCAAAAGTAAGTATTTTTATAGGTTATATCATATCGACTCCACAAGAATTAGGGCTACTGAATTGATGCTCAAAATTTTATCGCTTTTATGAGTTTGGTTTTAAATGGGTTTGAAGTGGTAAATGCAGGAATTAAAAGTTATGCACATCAAAGAATTTCATTCTTCGAAAAGGATAAAACTCTTGGGATTGATTCACATACCCGTTAAATACTTAAAATAATTACTCAGTCGCACTCAACCTTAATCACTCGTCAAAATCATCACGTACCACTCATACAGAGGTTATGTCTAACGCAAAGTGAGAAAACAACCGTATGCTCGCGTCAACAATCTCTCAACATAATACAAAACAACACGGAGGCATTAAGAAGTGATGCACACATGAATAATAAGCCTTAATCTATCTCTAGAATCAAAACCCAATAAATGTTCTTCTTAAATCCAGATTCAAATTGTCCATTTCTGCAATAACCCAAACCCAAATAAAGCAAGCAATCACCAATATTAGTTTGTAAGAAAAGCTCCATACAACACCATGAGTAATAAATATACATACAAAAAAAGTATACTTACATACAAAAACCCAACAAATGAGGGTACAAAGATAAGAAAGAAGAAGATGAACAAGAATCACTCGATTTGTCACTCCGATTGAAGTAAACCCACCTCTGATCATTAAGATGTAACCCCAATTGATATTTTTTAAGCTCTCTCTACCAAAAAATGATGTTGATGGGGTTGGGACTAAAAAATACCCAACCCATAACCTACAAATGTGTTTTTCCCTATTTAATGAGTTTTGAAGTCGCATGGCGCGCTTAGCCCGGTCTGTGGATGCTTAGCACGCTTTGTGTTGTGTCAAAAAAAAATCCAGCACTTGTTTTCTCCATAACTTGAGAACCGTAACTCCGATTTACGCACGACTTAAAGTGTTGGAAAGATTATTAAATTCTCTATATAACCATGACTAAATACAATTGCTTGAATACCTACAAAAATGAGATAAAAACAATTAAACTCAATGATATTTATACGATAACACACTATATACATTATAATGTAAACTATACTGAATATACACTAAAGTTGAGGTTTATTGATGAAAATCGAATGAATTAAGTTGATGAGTTATAATATTCGCACTCAAGTTCACAAAAATTTAGAAATCATCATTAATTCGTGGAACTAAATCATCAGTTTTTGGTTCCTAAACGGAACAATACCTCTCATTAGTCGAGTACTCATTTGAGTCCACAACTGTGCCAATATCTAGTTGGCAAATAACTATTCACCACCATGAGTTATATCCATTACCTTCGCTCAAAATGCTCATATTCTCCCTATATCTACATAACAACACTCTATACATAGTATGGACATATTCATTATAATCTTCCTGTTGTACCCTAATTTTTTTTACCTAAGATCCCACCTCCATTTGCATCTTTACATAATATCATAAGATCATCTCATTCATGTTTGTATCACTAACCTTGAAGAAATACGAGATATGCTCTACTCATTTATTATTTAAGCAAGAAAATAAGTTCAAGGGATTGACAAATCAATGATCTTAAAGGATTCAAGCTCCTCATGCATACATGATGATCAAGTAATAATCATCTTCATCACCCAGGAAAATCAAACAAAAAACACTTTAAAGTATCTTGAGGACTCGTGTTTACTAAATGACTCTTCTCCACAAGAAGACAAAAACATGATGTCATCATGACATCATCACCTAAGAAAAAGTAACTAGAGGACTTGACCATACTAAGAAATCTAGATGACTCGTTTCACTAAAAGACAAATTTCACTATTTGCAAGTACAAATGATGTCATCACTTTATCATTGATTTGACATAAAGCCTACTAACCCATCAAATCTTGTCTTCATCATGATGGAAGGTTGGTGACTCGTTTTGAGAAGGAAATAATATTAATATACGATACAAAGATGAAGACTCTTCATCACCACTCTTTACCTATAAATATAAGCTTTATCTTCAAGAAAAACAAAAAAATAAATTGCACTTGGGAGAAGAGGAGAAGAAGAAAAAAAGGGGGAATTACTCTTAAAAAAAGGCTAACAAGATTCATTATCATCCAAGAGTAAAAACACCATTTCCACCACCACCTCCATCAAAACACCTTCATTTCCTTCAACACAACAAGCTCAACATTTGGTAGCTTTGGAGTTTGTAAGCATCATTCATCCTTATTTTTGTTTATACCATATGTAGCTAATTATTTTGTTTATATTATTTCATTTTATTTTTACTATTTTTACTAATTGCTTTGTTTATACTGTTTCATGTTTATTTTACTAATTGTTTTGTTTATATTGTTTTATTTTATTTTACTATTTTACTAATTGTTAATCAAATTTGTTAATTGTTTTTATCAATTTGTTTCCAATACTTTTTTCTTCAACTTTTGAATAGACTTTATATGAGCGAATCAACTCCTTTTGGCTTAATTTTTTGCATACTTTTTTATTTGTCTAAATTTTGTCAATTCATGAAAAAAACTCAAAAATATTTTTATTTTTGACTATTTTTATATAGTGGAGACCCATGCCTTTTGTTGTTCTTTTAATATATTAAAACACCAAAAATATTTTATTTTTATTTATTCAAAGTTTTGATTCTATTTTATGTATTTGTTTAACATATTAAAAATACAAAAAAAAAATAGTTTCTTTTGTTTTAGTTTGATTAAAGTCTTAGTGTTTTCTTTAAAACCTTTGGGAAATTTTTTCTCAAAATGACTCTTGTAAAAACCATGCTACTTTATGACATTATCCTCTCGTTTGTGATGTGTGTTTACCCTTTTTTTAGTAACTAATATTTATACTTTGTTGCATTAATGTTTGTAAATCCAATGAAAAGTGATAGTTTTATTGGATTTATTAGTCATGTGCATATGCATTGCTCTTTGTATAAAAAACTCTTGTGAAAACTTACCCTATGTATTCTCATGTGCTCTAAAAACCTTTTAACCCAAAAAATCAATTTTTAAACTTGAACCACTTTCATATAAAAACCTTGACTTTGTGTCATTACATTTCCAGACTTTCTTTTTTAATCAAATGCTTCAATATACTTAAGCATATCAAAACAACTTCAAAAGACTAAAAGTGATTCAACCCCATTTAAATCTTTTTTTCACTTGGCTTTTAATTTAAAACACTTTTTCAAAGAAATTAGATATAAATATTCTTTATAGTTGAGATGTGATTCTCATATGTCCATAGTAACCGTTGAAGTAAATGTTATTCTTTCCAC